TTCATGAGTATAGCTGATTGGGACAGCATATGTATATTTTCACTCGATTTAACATAAATTTATGGAAAGAAATGATCGGATATTTTAATCTTGGTAGAAATATGACGAGAGATATTATTCTGTCAGTGACACAAGGACTACTCGCGAAAAAAATTCCGAGTTCCCCTTACAGGAGTTGAACCTATGACCTTCCACACCACCGGTCGGACGCATCTACCACTGAGACTAAAGGAGACTCGTGGGAGCTAAGGCCATCTAACTAGGTTTCAAAGTGTGACAAAACATCCCGCATTGCCTGATTTCAAAACCGAGAGGGCCTGGGCAGAAATATGTATTTATTCCAGGCGCGCGAGAAATTCAAAACTAATGGCGCGTTCTCATAAGGTCTGTTCTATTCAATTTTATGTCTGTAATATTAGCATGGTTTGGCACTGGAATTGAGCCAGTGCTTCCGTGTGCCCAAAAACGGCTGGCGGACCAAGGGTGTTAGATATTACAATTTGCCGGTGAATCCCGATCTCAGTAGAAATACAAAGCCTGTATTGAAGAATGAAAATGTAAGTGGACACAAAGCAAAGTTATCTGCCTCGGCTCATTGGAGTGGGAGGCGAAGAGGCTCTCCGTTGACGACATCTCCTGATGTTATTTGCTCCGAAATCGGGGGGTTTTCTTTTTTTTGTGGTGGGTTGTGTTTGGGGGGTTGAACAGCCAAAAGAAATTGGAATCGATGCTGACTAGTTAACTCCAAGCAAGAGTCTAAAGAAAAAAGGTTGATTGTGTCCACAGGGGAGGGGGGGGGGGGGGGGGGTTCTTGTTACAAGCAAATCACACGAGGCCATATACATGTAGAGTTAGAGTTGAAATCAACAGGGAAAAGGAAAGCATCTCAGGGAAAGGCCTTTTGGGTTTAGAACCTGAAGACACTGAAGCAGCCCGTTAAAAAAGAAAGAGCAACAAAAAGCGCCACGGAAAAGATGAAAACCTTTTCACATCCAAATTACCCAAAAATAAAAGCATTGATTTCCGAAAATAAAGCTTTATCTGATGCAGGTTTTAGAAATGGAACAGCTCCCCCCCCCCCCCTACAAGAAATGAAGGCCTTACAACGAGAAACAGTGATAGTCTGCAGAAAAGATTCTTCTCGAACAGGACGAGAAACTAAAAGAAATGAAATTTCGAAACTTACATGTAATAATTGAGACATGTTTCACCTAAATGACTGCACTTAAAGAACAGGGAAAAGTAATTCCTTTGAACATGTGTGCCGACTGACGGTGAATGAATTTAATTCTCTCTTTGGTATGACGTCCCCAATAGCAGGTTTAGGCGGGATGCGGGATTTGGCTTATTTTTGTGGCGATATTCGGGATGCGGAGCTAATAAAGACAGGAGCGGGAAGCGGGACTGAATTTCAATTATGAGCGGGAGCTGGATTTCGTGTTTTTAAGGGGTTTGGGTTGCGAGAATCGCAAAGGGGAAACAGTAGCGGGATACGAGGAATATGCAATTTTTACGTGACTGCATGAATTGACCAAGCGCAAGGCAGACTGGTACAAATGGATCCTTTGTGTATAGCTGTGTCGGTTTCAATAATGAATAGCAAAGGAGGTGTAGCCTGTTTTAAATTTATAAACGAACTAATCAAAACCTAGAATACAAGATTGTCAAGATTAAGAAAGGCAATGCGATCACTAAAACGAGTATAACTTCAAGGAACTTACCTTCAGAGATCAGTGTTAGATCGAGATGATAACGGAGTGCGAGCTCTAGCAAACAAACTAATGTACTTCAGTGTTAACTCAGACGAGACTGCCTTACTAAAAATAGAGGGGTTTTGTACAATATTGGAACGCTTTCAAATTACGGTCTGTTAATTTCTCTCAAACAAAACAATTGTTTCTGAATATTATCGCAGAAGCCAAGATCATCGATCATCGAACTGTCTGCCACATCAACAATGAGTTCTCAAATTTACAAAATGTTGCACGCGATTTGCACTCCCGAAAACTTTGTTTAAGTTTCTACAACAGGAACAAAAGGAGAAACTACTCTTGAAAGAGATGTTATTACGAGGACAACTGCACGTAAACAATCTTCTGGGCTTCTAGAAACTTCCAGCTGTTTTTGTTCAAGGGTTCAGCGATTTTCAAGAACGGCATTCTACGCGATGAGAAATATTCGTTGCGCGTCAGAAAATTCGAAAACGATGGTGTTGGTGAGGAGCTTTTGATGCGTTTTCGATGAAAACGGAGCGTTTCGAAAACTGAGCGTTATGACTGGAACGTGTACGTGTGGACGGGGCCAAAGTTAACCACGTCCCCAGAGCCCACGATTCTTTTGGATGCTTCTAAAGGATCGCGGGACGAGATTGGGCCTAAGTCTGGACGGGGCCTAAGTCTTTTATGTGATGTTTATTTTAATAATAATACAGAAACTCGTTTAAAATTTTGGGCGGGATCGGGATTTCGACGAAAATAAGGGCGGGATGGCGGGATTAACGAGAAAAAATAGGCGGGAAAGCGGGATCTGGGAACCCTATTGTGGACCCTCTTTTACATGTCTGATTCCTTTTTTACATCTGATTGTGTATCCTGATTGTGTTCAAAGCTTGGAAAAATTAGATTCACATAATAAGCTCCTTGACGACAGAACAGAACTCCTTGTTACACTTACTGTAGCAAGACATGCAGTGGATCTAGTCATTATGGCTAAGTTAGTGGGTGGAAGTTCGCTCTACTATTTCAAGAGTGGTTTGTAGGCATGGATGGTTTTCTTCTTCTGAAAATGGATTTTTATCCAAAATCGGCGGGTTCTTTTTCAGATTAATTATTCCTTTTTTACGAGGAGTTATTTTCGTACCCCAGACGTACTCTTGGCCCAAGTTTTAGTAAGCACTGCTGCAGACATTCTTGGCTCCATTTTGATGGATTGCTCAGGACATTAGCCTTAGTTTTAATTCCCTTCGAGGGAAATTGAGGGCTGAGTACTTTTCCATTTATTTTGTCAAGAACACGAGCTAAGAAGAACGAGAAAACAGACCTTAGAGAGCCGCCATTTTGATTCTCGCGACGTCCGGATTGTGCCCGCAGGCCCTCTTCGGTTTGAAATCAGGCAATACTGCTAAGATTAGATTTGTCTTACTAGAAAGAATAAGACGAAATCCATTAGAAAATCGAGTAATATTTATGGCCAGTGGACAAAAAATCCTGTACTACGACGCCATAAGCTTTCACGCTTAAACTAAACATTTCATGAACCATAATCTTAAACGGTATTCCCCCTCCCCCTCCTCACCAAATAATATAACTCCACAATCCTTAAGATTGCTTTCCGCCTTGGGTTTCCTCCCCGTGCATTGGGTTGAGTCATGAGAGGTGGCAAGCCATGTTTAACAAAAATACTATGGTCTGGCCCACCTCTCATGACTTCAAAACCCATTCACGGGTAAGGAAACTCAAGGCGGACAAGCAAATTTAGAGGATTGTGGAGTTATATTATTTGGTGAATACCGTTAAAGTACGGCCTCATGAATGTGTTAGTTTAAAGCGTGAAAGCTTATGACGTCGTAGTACAGGATTTTTCGTCCCACTGGCCAGAAAATATTACTCGAATTTTCTAATGGATTTCGTCATAATATCTCTCTTTGAGCCCGCGATATGTAATATGGTCACTTGTTTTTACCCATGGGATGGCCGTTCGAGGGAGGGGAGGGTTGGGTAGTTGGACTCAGGGGGTGTGGGACTTAGGCGAGGAGAAGGTGATTCAAGTTGGCGGCAGGTTGTCCAAACTGGGGCGTGTGAAGAAGGATATATATTTCGAGAAAATATGAAAGGAAGAGAGCTAGTCGTGTCCCGTGTGTGGCATGCCATGAGCATGACTATTAAGAAGAAGAAGGAAAAGCTGTTCGAGTAGACCGATCGAATCGATCGATCGATCGACACACAAGCGCGACATTCTCGCAAGTTCGCTCTGGCCTGTGCGCTCAAACCCATGAACGATGGAGTCAAATAAATCGGACTGAATCACGAACACAGTTTATACTGGAACTTTTAAACCATGGAACTTTTCAACAATAAACGGAATCGTTTGCGTAAACTGACTTCGGGGAGGCCATCTGGGACTTTTTTAAGAAAGGGTCAGGACTGGACTGGCGGAAAAAGAATTTTGGAACACTACCTATAGAAGTGCATCAACAGTGCTGTTAAATGCATTCGGATTTCAAGGACCAATAAAGGATAGCAATCACTTTGAAAAGGGTGCCATATATTCAGCATGGGGGAGTAAATTTTAGTCAACAAGTAAGCCACAAAAATGTTTGCGAGGACCACTTGATTGTGGGGGATCAGGCAGTTGGTAGTTTTGCCATGATTCTTGTTTTGACTTGTTTATCAAATATTCACCCGCAGCAAAAAAAAAAAAAAAAAAAGCCTTATTTATTTTATTTATTTATTTATTTTATTTACACAATTCGCCAATGGCGGGGGTGTAAATTAGACAAATTAGGGACATTACGTCCCTTGCTAGGCCTATATCTACCCAGCCCAGCCCCAGTAAAGAATACAGATACCCAACCCACCACTAAGTTATATATAGGATATAAAAAAAACTAATTATAATGCTAACAAGAGCACGCCTGCATTGGGATTAATGCGGCGGCATTTGGGGGCAGACCAATTTTTGTAAGTTCGTATGTTTGTCTGGGTGTTGAAAAACGTTTATATAAGTCGAGAAAAATAAAACCTTTTAAGCTGATTTTTTAAAAGCTAAATAGAGAATCAGCACTTTTTTCTGAGAGTCAGGTACAGAGTTTTTCCATAAGTTTAACTGATCCTGTTGAAATAAGAGTTCACTGGAAACAGGAAGTTCTGGCAATAGTAGGTCTTCAGATAATTGCCAGTAACACTCCCGGCGAGAACGCCCCTGACTAAAGGTAACAAACTGCGAAAGATCTAACTTAACTAAGCCATGCTTACATTTGAAAAGGAAAACCAAATCCAGGAACTCTAGCCAACACTTGACTGCTATCCTAGTTGATGCCTTATTATCATAACATCATTCATGAGTGGCTCATACAAGCCTTTGATTTTTTGGTAAGAATCTTTTTGATAAGAATATTGAGGCTGAGATTGGCGAAATTTTAAGAATATACTAACAATAAAGCCAAGGCTGAGATTTAGTCCAAGAAAATGTTTTTGCATGTCGATGGACAATAAAATGTTTTTTAAATGAACTTTA